CGGGGTGAGCTCCCGTTGCTCGGTCCCTGCTCCTGCCAACCTAGCAGTTCGAAAGCATGTCAAAGTGCAAGCAGATAAATAGGTTCCGCTCTGGCGGGAAGGTAAACGGCGTTTCCGTGCGCTGCTCTGGTTCGCCAGAAGCGGCTTAGTCCTGCTGGCCACGTGACCCGGAAGCTGTACGCTGGCTCCCTCTGCCAGTAAAGCGAGATGAGCGCCGCAACCCCAGAGTCGGCCACGACTGGACCTAATGGTCAGGGGTCCCTTTACCTTTTATATATGTTGGAAGCTGCCCAGAGTGGCTGGGGAAACCCAGTAAGATGGGTGGGGTATAAAGAGCAAAATCATTGTGATGGAATGGGACGTCCCTATATTTTCATCGGAGAAATGTTCAGAGGGTATGGAATAGGACAGTCCTAGCAAATCTCAGCCCCTTTAACAGACCACATGTTATGTACTAAACTTGGATCCTAGAACACTTGGCAAGTAGGATCCTAGAATGCAACAGCTCATTGGCTTGCACGAGAAAACCAATCAGGCTCCAGGAGGGAAGCAGAATCAGCCAATCAGACGGGACTCATATATTTACAGTGGTACCTCAGGTTACAGACGCTTCAGGTTACATACGCTTCAGGTTACAGACTCCGCTAACCCAGAAATAGTACCTCGGGTTAAGAACTTTGCTTCAGGATGAGAACAGAAATCGTCCTCTTGTGGCGCAGCGGCAGCAGGGGGGCCCATTAGCTAAAGTGGTGCTTCAGGTTAAGAACAGTTTCAGGTTAAGAACGGATCTCCGGAACGAATTAAGTACTTAACCCGAGGTACCACTGTATATAAAAGCCTGAGGTTTGTGGGGGCAACAAAATCCCTGTTTTACAAGCTGCAATTAAGAGCATGAAATCACTACAGGACTCCGAGTCATAGCTGTCAACTTTTCTTGCGAGGAATCCTATTTGGAATAAGGGAATTTCCCTTAAAAAAAGGGAAACGTTGACAGCTATGCTCCGAGAATATTTCACCACAGTTCCCAGAATCCTTTGGGGGAAGAAACAATGGGTATTTAAAGCTGTATTGTAGTGTTATAAATGCAGATTGTGAACGGGACTTGAATGGTTTCCCGCAGTGTCGAGAACACTGTTTCCTGCTGGTCATTTTGCAATCAGTTTCGGATGCCTCTCTGCCTTCCACACAGACACATTTTTGGCTCTAGGCCTGGTCCTGTTGGAGAGAGAGAGAGAGAGAGAGAGAGAGAGAGAGAGAGAGAAAGAAAGAAAGATCTGGTGGGCTTCCTCTTGTCCCTTCAGACGGTGGCGCACACATTTCCTCTGCCCTCCTCAGTCAGCAGTCCTCGAGCGAGGGGTTGGCTAGCCAGGGATTCCCCCAGGCAGACCTCACCCTTTGACTCCAAACGCTCCTCTTTACCCCCTCCCGCCCTATCTGATCGTGAACACGAGTTGATCTTTGGACAGCACATCAGCAAAAAAAAACCCCAGATCCCTCATTCGCCTAATCTCGCGCCGACAGCTGCTGACATGTCACCGAAGAGCGATTGCGCTCGCATCTCTCCCGATGATCCGGACGGGGCAATGTCTGTTCAGCGAGAGGGCTAGATTGTGCTGACACCAGATCTCCGGATTTCTTGGAAAGGAAGCGAGGACATGGCGACGGGCTGCGAGGCTAGGAATTGTCTCTGGGAAACAACCAGAGCCTTGTTTCTGCCCGGATGGGAACTGATGTGTGTGCCATGTGTGTGTGTGTGTGTGTGCGCGCACGCTTTTTCCTTTTCACCAAATCTGGCGTCTCCTTGGACTCCCAACCCTGAGCTCAGTCGCAGCTTTGACCTGCAATTACCAGGCCTCTGAATCTCTCCCAGAAAAAACAACGCAGAAGGTCTTTATCCTCTAATCCCCTTATCTCAGGGGTTGCGATAACCAAGTGGTCCGGGCACGACTCTGCTCATTCTTAGAACATTCAGTAAATATGTTCCCTACATGTCCCTGGTGGTTTGGAGGGCTCTCTGTCCTGAAGAACCTTACAGTTTAAAAAAGGTCAAATCTTCACATACAGGCTTGGCTCGCTTGTGAAACCAAACCATGGTTTGCTCATTATTAAACCATGGTTTGGCAGCATCCTGCTCAAACCCATGTATATAATTTTTAAATTAAATTTTGTTCCACAACTGAACATGCTCATTTTTACATCCTTGAGATATCAATGACTTCTTCTCTTTCCATGGTTCATTTTGCATACCATAAACCCCTGCATATTTTATAAAAACTATACCATTCAGTTTTCCATTATTACAGCCTTCAAAACTTATTTACACTGTTGAATTTATCTTAAGGCTGCCAATGTTTTCAGGTGTATACAACCCCACCACCCATATATTCAATGAATGTTTTCCAATCTTCTCTAAATGTTCTCTTATTCTCTTCTTGTTCTCTTCTTCTATTTGTTAAGTCTGCAAGCTGCACATATTCTGTCAACTTAAGTCGCCATTCTTCTTTGGTTGGGACATCACTCATTTTCCATTTTTGGGCTAACAAAACCGGGGCTGCAGTAATGGCATACATAAATAACCTTTTCTTTTCTTTTTGACACCTGGGAATTTCAGTCTGAATTATCCCCAACAGAAAGGACTCTGTTTGCAAGTCTAAAGGTAAAGGGACCCCTGACCATTAGGTCCAGTCGTGGACGACTCTGGGGTTGCAGTGCTCATCTTGCTTTATTGGCCAAGGGAGTCGGCGTACAGCTTCCAGGTCATGTGGCCAGCATGACTAAGCTGCTTCTGGCGAACCAGAGCAGTGCACGGAAACACCGTTTACCTTCCCACCGGAGTGGTATCTATTTATCTACTTGCACTTTGACGTGCTTTCGAACTGCTAGGTTGGCAGGAGTTGGGACCGAACAATGGGAGCTCACCCCATCGCGGGGATTCGAACCGCTGACCTTCTGATCAGCAAGCCCTAGGCTCTGTGGTTTAACCCACAGTGCCACCCATGTCCCTCCTTTGCAAGCCTACTCGGAGTTAAATACCATCTGTGAATCATTTTCAGGTAGTTCTCCTTCAAAGAATAACATGCTGTGAACTTCAAGTCACTTTTCCAGAGTTTTCCCCAGAGGTTAAAATCTATATTGTGTCCTATATCTTTTTTTTTTTTTTTTTAAATATTTTATTAAGGATTTTCTTGTTTTACAGAAGCGTAGTGCCTCGTATTTTTTTTTCCCATGTAACATTTTTACAAATCCGTTTAATTTGTTGAGGCATTAGGGGGAGAAAAAAAAAAGAAAAAAGAAAAGGGGGGTGGAGAGAGGGAAGATGGATGGGGGTGGGGTCGGGTGGCGGTGTTTCTATTATGTTTAATGTATGTAGAGTTTGGTGTCAGCGTTGCTTGTGTTGTTCACTTGTGTTCCTTTGGTGGTGAGAGAGGTTGGGGTTGGCCTAGGGTGTGATTGTTTGCTTGTGATTGGCTGTGGTGATCTTTGTTTTCGTGTGTGAGTGAGGTGGGTGGGTGTTTTGGATCAGGTTAGCCATATTGATTTGTATGCTGTTGGTGGATTATTGTCATTGTCCTGTTGGGCTGTGTATGTGATAAATGGGAGCCATACCGGGTTGAAGGCGTCTTCTTCTGTTTGTCCCCGTGTCAGTTTCAGTTTATTAGTTAATTTTTCTAGTAGGGCTGTTTCCCATACTATTTGGTACCATTGGTCCATGCTTACTCCTGACAGGTCTCTCCAGTGTCTGGTTATGGTGTTTCTGGCTGCTGAGAGCAGGTGGGTTATGAGTTCTTTGTGGTGTAAATGGGCATTGTTGTCTTGGAAGATGTTTAGTAGGGCCAATTCTGGGGTGATGTCTATTACTTGCTTAGTTATTTTACATATTTCTTGTATGGCTGTTGTCCAGAATAGTTGGATTTTGGGACACTCCCACCACATGTGGAGGTATGTGCCTGTGGAGGTGCACCCTCTCCAGCATTTTGGTGAGGTTCCTGGGTGTATTAGCGCTAGTTTCCTTGGTGTTAGGTACCACCTGTAGGTGAGTTTCAGTGTGAGTTCTTTTCTTTTCGTTGATATGGATTTAAAGGGGGGTTTAGACCACATTCTGGTCCATTGAGTGGGGTTAATCTCATAACCTATGTCATTCTCCCATTGTTTTTTGATTGCGTCTAGGGGATTTACAGGATTTTGGAGTAGTATTTTGTATATTGCGGATACCGTCCCTTTACCGTTTCCCTTTGTTGTTAGGAGGAGGTTTTCGAAGGTTGTCAGGGGCCTAGTTGCTGCTGATTTTACTGTTGGGTTGTTTAAGAGGGCATGAAGTTGGTGTTGTGTTAACCAGGGCATTTGGGTGTCTTCTAGTTTGTCTTGTATTTCTTGTGTTGACAAGGGTTTGTTATTTTTATAAAAGTCTATTAGGCGATATAAGCCTTTGGTTCGCCAGGTTTTTATCTTGAGGTTTTGTGCTGCACGGTGGAATAATGGGTGGTACGCCAGTGGGATTAGTGGGGATGGGGTTGGGGATAGTTTGCCTATTTGTGTTTTCCATGCTTTGAGCATGGTCTGTGTGTACCTGTTAAGTGTTGTGGGAATTTTCTTTAGTTTGTTTGGGAGGAGTGGGTATGTTGTGGTGCAGGTGTTTTCAATTGTGTCCCTCTCTAGGTGTACCCATTGTTTTGTCTCATCTTCTAGTATATATGGGATTATGTGGCGTATTTGGTTGGCATTGTAATATGCTTCTATGTTGGGGATTCCCCATCTATTGCCCAGTGTGTCACAGAGCTCAAACTCAGACTAACAGCTTTGCTATGGTTTTATTAAGATTGGTTGCAGGTCGCTCAGCTATTTCTTTTTGAGCAAGACTTGATGCAAGGAGCTTCAATTTCCGATTACAGTAATCTCTTCCAGCTATAATTAACCTTCTGAGTCAAGGCCCTCAGATCTGATTCATACCAATATCCCATCCAGCCGTCTGGGCCTTTCAAGATCTGCCCACTGAAGCGGCCGTCTCCCTTTGCCCAACGCTAGGACCGGAACTCACTGCAAATGGTGACAGCAGCCACGAAATTAAAAGATGCCTGCTTCTTGGGAGAAAAGCAATGACAAACCTAGACAGCATCTTAAAAAGCAGAGACATCACCTTGCCAACAAAGGTCCGTATAGTTAAAGCTATGGTTTTCCCAGTAGTGATGTATGGAAGTGAGAGCTGGACCATAAAGAAGGCTGATTGCCGAAGAATGGATGCTTTTGAGTTATGGTGCTGGAGGAGACTCTTGAGAGTCCCATGGACTGCAAGAAGATCAAACCTCTCCCTTCTGAAGGAAATCAGCCCTGAGTGCTCACTGGAAGGACAGATTGTGAAGTTGAGGCTCCAATACTTTGGCCACCTCATGAGAAGAGAAGACTCCCTGGAAAAGACCCTGATGTTGGGAAGATGGAGGGCACAAGGAGAAGGAGACGACAGAGGACGAGATGGTGGGACAGTGTTCTCGAAGCTACCAACATGAGTCTGACCAAACTGCGGGAGGCAGTGGAAGACAGGAGGGCCTGGTGTGCTCTGGTCCAGGGGGTCACGAAGAGTCGGACACGACTAAACGACTCAACAACAACAACAACAAGGGCCGGAATTGTTGTCTTTTGGCTCTCCGAAGTTGCAGGGTTTTTGCCACCAAAGAAAGCGGATCCCGTGGGGCAGAGGCAGAGGTCGACTCCCCTGGCGCTGGCTGCTGGCTACCGAAGGCTTCTTGGCTCCCATGCACCTCCCCCCCCGCCAACGTCTCCCTCTCTCATTTCCGGAGAGACACAGAATGCAAACCCATCTGCGTTACTTCTACAGGAAGCCGTGAGCATGAAGCTCTCTCGTGACGCAGGTTATTTATAGCCCCTTATCGCAGTCCCGGCTTATTGGCAAGGCCTTTAACAACAAGGATTGTACCCCACATGTCTGGGTGCCCACGGCGCATGGGATGAGCGCACCTCGCAGTGGCATTGACGGCGCACTAGGTGCCTGCCCCCCCCAGCAACTTGCCGTTGCAAAACTCAGACGCCCATGCCAAGGGACGGGTCCCTGCACAAACTTTGCTCGGCCACGTCAGGCCACATTCCCAAAAACGCCGTTCCTCTGCAGCGGCAGGCTGCAGATACCTCTTCTGCCATTGCTTGTCCTCCGCGCATTGAACAGACAAGGGAGGTTTGCTTTTTTTCACCAAAGCAGCAACAAGGACTTTGCTCTCCGTATGAACCTACCCAGACCCTGAGATCATCTTCTGAGGCCTTTCTTCATGTGCCTCCTCCTTGAGAGGTCTGGAGGGTGGCAACGCAAGAACAGGGCCTTTTCTGCAGTGGCTCCCCGTTTGTGGAATGCTCTCCCCAGGGAAGTTCGCCTGGTGCCTTCATTATCCACCTTATGGGCCACGTGAAAACATTCCTCTTTAACAAGGCCTTTGGTCGATTAACACCTCATACTGCTTTTAGACTTTTCATGTGAAGTGTGTGTGTGTGTGTGTGGGTGGGTGGGTGGGTGGGTGTTATTGGGTTGTTCTCGTTCTCGTTTTTATTATTTTGTGTTTTTATCTTGTGATTTTATGCTGAGACCTGCGGGTATAGGGTGGCATAAAGGTAAAGGTAAAGGCACCCCTGACCATTTGGTCCAGTCGTGGCCGACTCTGGGGTTGCGGCGCTCATCTCACTTTATTGGCCGAGGGAGCCGGCGTACAGCTTCCAGGTCATGTGGCCAGCAGGACTAAGCCGAACCAGAGCAGCGCATGGAAACGCCGTAGGGTGGCATACAAATTTCTTATTTTATCTGTAAGCTGCCTTGAGTCCCAGTCGGGGGAAAGAACGGGGATAATTAAATATATCACCAACAGCATAGAATTGCTGTACCCCCAAAGGATACCCCCCAACCCCCTGCAATGAAGGAATTGTAGGAATATTGCAGGAGTATCATTATTCAGATGGGATGCGGGTGGCGCTGTGGTCTAAACTACTGAGCCTAGGGCTTGCCGATCAGAAGGTCGGCGGTTCGAATCCCTGTGACGGGGTGATCTCCCGTTGCTCGGTTCCTGCTCCTGCCACCCTAGCAGTTTGAAAGCACACAGGTTCAAGTAGATAAATAGGTACCGCTCCAGCGGGAAGGTAAACGGCGTTTCTGTGCTCTGCTCTAGATCACCAGAAGCGGCTTAGTCCTGCTGGCCACATGACCCGGAAGCTGTACGCCGGCTCCCTCGGCCAAGAAAGCAAGATGAGCGCCGCAACCCCAGAGTTGGCCACTTAATGGTCAGGGGTCCCTTTACCTTTTTATCATTATTCATTGAGCTCTACACAAACTGGCAGCCGCTCTCCGGGGTTTCAGGCAGCTGCTGGGCTGCTGGCAGGAACCGAACCCAGGACTCTCTGCCTGCCTGTCTCAGCTTACAAGCGTACAGATGCCAGGATGCCTGTCTTATCAGCAACTGCTTTGTGAATGGCCAATGCTGATAACATGAAATTATTGCCAGGTTTCATTTTCTGCACGACAGTTGCCTCTGACCTCGTTTGTTCCCCTCTTAACCACATCCCAGACATGCGCGTTGATACAGAAACACAAACAGACGGACAGCGACTCAATAAATAATGCCTTTGCAACTGGTCAGCAAAAAAGAAAAAAATGTTTACCACAAGACTTCCTGTTTCTTCTGCTGCAACAGAGTTATTTATTTATTCAATTAATACACCATTTCCTCTGTCCCCGCTGGCAACTCTGTACAGGGAAGGCTTTTTTAAAAAAAACCAACAACAACGTTTTATTCTGTTTCTATATACAGTGGTACCTCGGGTTAAGTACTTAATTCGTTCCGGAGGTCCATTCTTAACCTGAAACTGTTCTTAACCTGAAGCACCACTTTAGCTAATGGGGCCTCCTGCTGCCACCGCACGATTTCTGTTCTTATCCTGACGCAAAGTTCTTAACCTGAAGCACTATTTCTGGGTTAGCGGAGTCTGTAACCTGAAGCGTATGTAACCTGAAGCGTATGTAACCCGAGGTACCACTGTATGGTCAAAGCTGCCCAGAGTGGCTGGGGCAACCCAAACCAGTCAGATGGACAGGGTTTAAAAAAATTAAAATTATTATTATTATTACACTTATGATGATGGAATAAGACGTCCCTAGCTTCATCGGAAAAATGTCGGAGGGTATGAGAACCTTCTTTGCTCCTAAATGCAGGGGTCAGCAACATTTTTCAGCAGGGGGCTGGTCCACCGTCCCTCAGACCATGTGGGGGGCCGGACTGTATTTTTTTGGGGGGGAAATGAACAAATTCCTATGCCCCACAAATAACCCAGAGATGCATTTTTACATAAAAGCACACATTCTACTCATGTAAAAGCACCAGGCAGGCCCCACAAATAACCCAGAGATGCACTTTAAATAAAAGGACACATTCTATTCATGTGAAAACACGCTGGTTCCTGGAACTGAGAAGGCGATTGGGCTGCATCCAGCCCCTGGGCTTTAGGTTGCCTAAAGGTAAAGGTAAAGGGACCCGTGACCGTTAGGTCCAGTCGTGGCCGACTCTGGGGTTGTGGTGCTCATCTCGCTTTATTGGCTGAGGGAGCCGGCGTACAGCTTCCGGGTCATGTGGCCAGCAGGACTAAGCTGCTTCTGGCGAACCAGAGCAGTGCACGGAAACGCCGTTTACCTTCCCACCGGAGCGGTACCTTTTTATCTACTTACACTTTGACGTGCTTTCGAACTGCTAGGTTGGCAGGAGCAGGGACTGGGCAACGGGAGCTCACCCCGTCGTCGCGGGGATTCAAACTGCCGACCTTCTGATCGGCAAGTCCTAGGCTCTGTGGTTTAACCCACAGTGCCACCTGCGTCCCATTTAGGTTGCCTACCCCTGTCTAAACGGTTTTCTGCATCAGTCTGGGTTGTAACCTTTACCCTTTGGGGGGAAAAAAGCAACCGCTACCAGCATAGGACTGTTCGATGGGGCATTTAATCTCAGCACTGATCTGGTTATAAAGTCACCGCGATCTGAGCTGAGCAAAGCACGTGTTTTTCACAGGGAGGGTTCCAAGTTCAATCCGTTTCCATTTCTGCTTAAAAGGAACAGGCAGGAGCTGCAGGGAAAGCTGCTTCTCTGCTTCTTGAGTCCCTGGAGAGTCAAACTGGGCTGCGAGGCAGCTTCCGAGGTTCCTATTAAACCCTCCACCCAGAACAATGAGGACTGGAGTCTTGATTTGTTTTTAGCTTGGTGGTAGAGCATGTTCCAGGTTCAGTCCCCAGAATCTCCTGGAACAACTGGCAGAGACCCCCTCCTCTTTAAATATCTTATTTTTCCTTCTTTAAATAATTTCAGGGGGGTGGGTTCATGCTGTTGTTGTTGTTTAGTCATTTAGTCGTGTCCGACTCTTCGTGACCCCCGGACCAGAGCACTCCAGGCACTCCTGTCTTCCACTGCCTCCCGCAGTTTGGTCAAACTCATGCTGGTCGCTTCGAGAACACTATCCAACCATCTCGTCCTCTGTCGTCCCCTTCTCCTTGTGCCCTCCATCTTTCCCAACTTCAGGGTCTTTTCCAGGGAGTCTTTTCTTCTCCTGAGGTGGCCAAAGTATTGGAGCCTCAGCTTCAGGAACTGTCCTTCCAGTGAGCACTCAGGGCTGATTTCCTTCAGAATGGAGAGGTTTGATCTTCTTGCAGTCCATGGGACTCCGAAGAGTCTCCTCCAGCACCAGAATTCAAAAGCATCAATTCTTCGGCGATCAGCCTTCTTTATGGTTCAGCTTTCACTTCCATACATCACTACTGGTTCATAGCTGTCAACTTTACCTTTTTTTTAAGGGAAATTTCCTTCAGAATGGAGACGTTTGATCTTCTTGCAGTCCATGGGACTCCGAAGAGTCTCCTCCAGCACCAGAATTCAAAAGCATCCATTCTTCGGCGATCAGCCTTCTTTATGGTCCAGCTTTCACTTCCATAGATCACTACTGGGAAAACCATAGCTTTTACTATGGGTTCATAGCTGTCAACTTTCCCTTTTTTAAAAGGGAAATTCCCTTATTCTAAATAGGAAAAGGGAAAAGTTGACAGCTATGGGGGGGTTACAATAAATTTTCCGCACTGGGTATCACCTGACCTTGCTACACCACTGCCTAGAGGGCTGTTGCGGGTTAGGGCATTCAACACTGCTCTGGACAGACCCCCGCCCCAAAAAATGATTCATTTATTTACATATGCAACAACAGCAGCAGAATCTTATATGCACAGAACTGGAAAGAAGAGGATATGCACCAACAGTAGAATAATGGATTTTAAAGCAAATGGACTGTGAGGAACTGGCGGAACGAACAGCAAAAGTAAGAGAACAAGACGAGGGGCTCAGCAGGAAGAACAGAAGCCCTTTTTGGAATATCTGAAAAAAAATATCGTAATCAGATGAAACCGCGA